CAGTTTCCAAAACTAGAAACTGGAGCTGAAGTGCATTGTTTAGAAGAGGAACCAAGCCTGTGTTCTTCTAACCATCTCACAAGACCTCAGTAAATTTTATGAAAACAAAAAAATCTAGTTACCTTTTTTGCCTTAATGTGCAGTTGTGTTTGTGTCTTAGTGATTTTAAAAGCAAAAGCACAGCTACTACGCAGGAAATTATTGTAGGTAGTCTTTACTTCAGGAAGGAGAAAGTTAAAGAAAAAATCAAAGAAGTGAGGAAAAAAGGCTTCACTTTTGCTTCAGATCTGAAAAAGTCCACAGCCGTCCTTCCACTGTGAGAAGACAACTCAACACTGTGGGTCTGAAAGGATGTGTAACTGTTAAGAAGCCATTACAGAGAAAAGGAAATAGACAAAAATGAAAATTTGCATGTAAAACAAAGTAGCTGCTAGTGTTCTCAGAACAAGAGACTGACCAGTCCAGAGTCTAGAACTCATAATTATGGACTGTGTTTGGGATTACTAAAAAAATGCAACCAACTTCTAAGACTGAACTTTGAAGGTGTGGAAAAATATCCCTGCATATTTCTGTGAAAAACTGAAAGCAAGCCTTGTGAAAGGAATAAAGCTGTAATAAAGGCAAATATTGCACACTAAAACTAAAAAAAATCATTCAGGCTTCTGTGTAACTTTTAAATATGTTTTCTATTTTTCCTGATGTTGAAAAAAGAATAACACGTATTTAATGGCCGGTTTCATTGTAAATTAAAAAGGTGAAGGGTGGTCTCTGACTTTTGCACAGTACTTTAGGTGCACCTCATAAAGAGGACAGTGTGTGGAAGGACAAAGTAGGAGTTTGTAATAAAGTGGACAGTAACTGTACTGAAAAATGAAGAGGGTCAGTATTCTTCCAGTTTAGTTTACAGTCTGTCACATGTTGAATTTATCTGAAGTCTTCATGTTTCTCTTGTTATGGAAATATGGTTAAATTGTAATTACAGTATAAAAGAATATAAAAAAATGCGAGATTTTCTCAGTGACCCAACGTCTTTTGAAGTGTCTTTAGAAACATGGTAACATGAGACATGGTAAATGTGGAAAGAATGTTTTAAAACATGAAGGGCCATTTGTTTTGAGGGTGGTCCTGCAGAGCAGCTCTTTAAAGTGGCTTGCAATTTAATTGCCTAAAGAGAGAGTTCTAAAACTGCAGTCTCCAGTCCAGTTCAGCGTTCTTAAAGAATGGAGAGAGTGCCATCTGGTGGATAAAGTCAGTAATTTTTCATGTGACTGAAAGTCTTCTTCCAGTTCCCTAAACAAATTTTTTGAGGTCAACTAAAATAACGTAGACAGTTGTAAGAGTTTAATAGTAGGTAGCTTAAGAGTAGCATGTGTTTGCTGTCTTAAAGATGAAACAGGACTAACAGCCTCACTAAAAGCTTGTATAATGCAATGTGTGTGGCCTCTCCCCACGCCATTAACCACAATGGAAATTCCACTATATACGAAGTGTGTTCTCACCCAGAGTGCAGGTTGCAGTTTGTCTATAATGAGATACCACTGACTGTGTTATACAAGCTCCAAGCTGCTAACATAAGCAGGCACAGACTGTAACATTGACCTTAAACAAGCGCTGTACCTTTCATGTACACATCAATGAAATGGAAGGAGTGGAAACCTCTATTCTGGTGCCAAAACTGCTTCTGCACTGAAAACAAAGAATGCATTAAATTTACATTAATAAAACATATTATATCAGCACACTGTCTGCCAGCAGTAAGTAGACTGAAAGACAAAATTGTTTTGGGGGAATATATTTTATTCATGTGGGAAAAATGTACCTGTTTGTATCAAATTAAATCAAACAAGATGTGTCTCCACTCCAGGCTCCAAAGCTGTGATGCCAGTGGATGTAACAAGCCGTGCCCTGGTTCCACTGCCTTCTGAAGACTGCTGCCCCTCAGCGAGGGTGCTGAAGCTGGCTGAGGAGCTGAAAGGCGCCCTGGATGGTCAAGAGGACAAGGACTCTCTGAGGAGACAGGTTCCCTCCACCACAGCACACACTCTCCTACTGTGGCTGGACAAAAGCCTGGTACGTACTGTTGTGCTTCACCACTACTAGTGAAAATACTGAGAGAATAGAATAGTTCTAACAATAATGGTTTGTGTTTTGTAGTTGTTTCATTATTTACAACTTCCAAAAGAAACAAAAGAAGTTCTGGTTTGAAATGAAACATTATGTTTGCAAACATTTTATATGAGAAGTGCTTTGGTTAATTATAATGATGAAGATGATGATGATGACAATAATACGCTTTATTTATAGGGCACTTTTTATACATTAAAATGCAGCTCAAAGTGCTTTACTATGAAAAACACCAATAAACACCAGCATAACAGAAGACACAGAAAACAGAGAAGATTTTTTTTTTTTTTAAAGAGAAAAAAAAATGTAATAAAAATTCTAAAAGTAAGTACTTCTAAAAATAATGAAGGGACAATAGATATAACAAGTAAGAAAATAATGTAATGAGGAAAAAAGGATTTTGTGGCACAAAAATAAAAATAATCTAAAACAAAATAAACCAAATTAAATAATAATTAATAATAATTGATAATAATTGTTGTCTTATATAAAGTCAAATGATACCATAAATAGAACTATAGAAAAGCTAGAGTAAAAGATATATTTTAAGCTGCTTTTTAAAATTTCTAACTGAAGATGCTTGCTGTCTGCCTTCTAGGAGGGACTTCAATAGTTTGGGAGCTTACGTCCTAAAAGCAGTCTCACCGCTTCTTAAGCGTTTTGCATGTGGAACAGAAAGTAATGGTTTGATGATCTTGGACATTGTTGTTGAACATATTCAGGTAGACAGTCTGACATATAAGCAGATGATAGTTCATTATTAGCTTTAAATAGAAATTAAAGAACTTTGAATTTTGTATTCTGTATTGAACAGGAGGCCTGTGAAGTGCTGCCAGTACTCAAGTAATATGTTAATTTTTCCATGTTGGAGCTTAAAGGGGAATTCCCAAATTTGTCCAAATTTCATCACGAGTGGTGTGGTGTGAAATTGTGTATTGTAGAGAAAATTACTGACTCTGATTTCTTTTCAGTGGTGGTGATAGAAACCAGGGGCTACATTTATAAAACATTCATATGCCCAGATTTGATCTTAAAATGAGCGTATGTGAACATTCACATTTAAGTGAATGTGCAGATATGAATACAAGTTTCCAACATGATGTATAAACAGCAATAGCAGTGTACTACAAGTAATACAGTGCCCAATTAGTGAGCATTGTGTTTATAAATCCATAAATCCATCATATGCAAATGTTGAGTACTTATCATTAATACCAAATGTAGAATAAAATTCCATTGCGTTTTATAAATGAGACCCCTAAACCAATTTTAACAATATATATCTTAGGCCAAACCCCCAAAGTATTGTAAAACAATGAGTGTGTTTACCTGCGCTTAATAATCCGATAACTGCGGAAAATCAGATTTTGTTAGTAATCCGATCAACACATTAACATGCACTTGAATAATCAGATAATGGGGAAACTCAGAGTGTACATGAGTCAGTAACCGGAATTCTGCTTTGCAACTGGGCACTAAACTCACAGAATAAGACGTGACATAAATGTAATGTAAAACTTTATGCAGTGGCTTTTCTTTTTAGAACATCGCGCCACTTGACCTGAAAATATGAACATACATCATCTAGAAGATGAAGAATATTGAAATCCTTCATTTTGTCAAGCATTTAGTTGGTTTCAGTGTCGCTCCAAAAGTGTTTAGCAGCCATCTCACAGCAACGCTGCTCGCTTATTTCCGGTACCGCCGTCTGTTTTCGCACATGCGCAGACTGAGAAATGCAAACAATAGTATACATGCGCTGTATACATCAAAAAGTATACATGAAATCTGATTACTGATCTAAAATCGAGCTCTCTTTATTGGATTTCTTGATCAAATTTCTAGACCTTACTCCTATCTAAGAAATCAGGGTGCTGTTTACATGACCATTTGAACAATCAGATAACTGCAGAAATCCAGTTATGATTGGATATTTGAGTGCTTGTAAACATACTCAAAGTCTCAGACATCAGGTATTTATAACCATTTTGCGTAATAATTTTTTCCTGATGTAGCTTTGAGAGATATTAAACGCTTTAGACGTTTGGTTCCTATCACCACCTTTGTAAGAAATTCTGACTCCATAAGTTTCTCTAGAATTTCTCATTTCATATTAAACTACTTTGAATGACTTTGTTTACATCTTAACCATTCAACCCTTAACCATGAAGAATGAAATGGTAAAATTCCTCTTTAAGCACATGGCAGTGAATAAGAGCCAAGTGAACAAAACATTACTGTCAGTTATCAAGGAGGAAAAGAAATTTATTTTTACAAAGTCAGTATTACTTTCAGGCTTTTGGCCTGTTACAAGATTAGAGTCTGTGTTTTGGCAAATGCATTCAAATGTAAGTGTAAGGTAACATGTATGAGACATGATAGAAAAGGTTACTAAAAGAGCTGGTATTGTTTAAGCAGAAAATCTAAACTCAATCTTACATGTCCTATGTATATGAATGCCCCATCTATAAACCGGTTATCGCTCATAGTGAGGAATTTTTCATAATGCCATGTAGCTTAATGCATGAGGACCATGCGTCATTCATATATTCCCAAGTGCCGTAGACTGTACTGGGGCCTCTGTGTGAGGATGAGGGAGTGGAAGGGGTTCCACTGGGGGCTTCTGGGTAAGCAGCCCACCAGTAATGAGAGACAGAGGCTGAAGGAAAGGGGGCCCTCTATCCCCCCTTTTTCACTCAACCATTTTACTTCACTACATTCTACACTGTTTTCCCCAGCGTACTCACATACATCCATCTCTCACCTCTCCTCCTTTCCCTCCATTTCTTCCCCTTTTTCCCTTCCCCCCTTCTTTTACCTCCTTTTTCCTTACTTCTCTCTTCTACTCCCCTCACCTCACTTATTCTATTCTCTCCTTTCTTTCGTCCTCCTGCCTGCCGTACAACACGTGTGTCATGAGCAAGCGTGCTCACCACACAAAGCCATACAAAGCAGGCGCAGCGCTCAGACATACTTGCTAATGAGATCTAAGAGCGGACAGACGGAGGTAGAGGGCGACTGTAGATGAGTGTTAGGACGTGAATAGGTTGAAGGGTATAAGAAAAAGGATCAGAATTAGTGTAGGAGATGAAACAAGAGCAAGAGAGGTTAGTAGGAGGGGAATGAGGCAGGAGAAGAAAGGGAGGGAGGAAGAAAGAGTGCAGCTGGTAGGATCTGAGTGGAGACTGAAGGCTGATATTAGAGACTGTTGCTTTCTCTGTGCTCCAAACCAGATGCTGAGAACTCTGAAGCAGCCTCCATCAGGAGAGAGATCGACACAGACACACTGTGTAAAAAGAGAGAGAGAGAGGGGGGAAGTAGATTAGGTTCTGTCCATTGTTGTATTTAGTTCTGCGTTTAATTCTGTCTCTGAGGCAGTCATTGTTCTAGTATCTGAGGAGAGAAGCAGGCAAGGAACATGGCCCTGAGTCATGGAGTGTGACATTGATTTTTACAAACATTTTGCATGGCTTAAAAAGGTAAGCCTGACTGTGCTGATGCTTTTTCTTCTACGTCTTTTGTTTATGAATTGTTCTACATTTATGTTTTACACTGTTTAAAGCTGTAAGATTGTGCTTCATTCTTTCTTGGTTTAGATCAGATGAAGTTATACGATTGAAAAAAAAAAACTTCTAGTGGTTCATTAAGCATGAATGGGTGACTTACGAATAAAGGTGCTTTGTGAAAGGAGGAGGAGCTCTCAGAGCACAAGTGGCAGCCTGTACAAGCTGACAAACATGAGCTCCATGCCCATCCAGAGATTTGTGTTTTTAATTCTTTAGACCCTAGGCTTATTATCAATTATTAATCTTAGGACATTGAGTATCTACTATGAAACTGATATGCAGTGTTAGTTGCATATTAGTTATGATTGATTAATAGAAGTTATGATTGTTAGGAATTGAAGTGAAGTGTGGGCCCACATGCAGGTCCTCGGACTTTACTGAGTTAAACAGAAATAGCACAAATCTGAGTATAACATAGTCATTCTCTCATAACATTTGCCCCAAATAAACCATATTATGTTCTATTGTTGATAGTCTGATTACTTTATTCAAGACTATAGTGCTTGCCAAATGGTAATGAGACATTTACCTACTGTGTGTAGTAGACCAGGCCTGTCTCAGTCATGAAATGTCGAGATATAAATAATTATGATTAACCTAATTAATTAGTCATTTAATACATCTATTAGAGTACAAGCCTATAGTGAACAAACTGTCTGTGTTGCTTGCTAGCTGTTGATATTTAGTAGCTCCCAACTGATGACAGACACAGCTTTAGCTCAAATAAACAAACATTACTCAAGTCTACCCTGTTACAGTCATATACGAAGGTTTGGCTGTCTCTGGTCAAATGACGTGTTTTCCTGACTTTATAAGAGAAAATAAGTTAACACATCCTTTACAGAGAACACATTTGTGTGTACAAGTAATGCTGAAGTTAAGATATTTGGGAAAAAATGAAACATAAAATGAGACCTGTGCAAAACACATAATCTGACCGGGTGTTATTTTGCATACAACTGTATAGCAACATATTAGAACTTTTATTTTTACCATAATGTGTCTCAATAAACGCATTTTCTGTTTTCCTTTATTTGCATGCATTTGCCTCAACCCAGCAGATGACAACACACCCAATCCATTTTCTGTTTCTTGCAATAAACTTACAATTAGTAAAGTGAACAGCTGTGGAAAATCATTGCAGTCGACTTTTGCAATCAGCTCAAATAACTGTAGACCTCTTTTTTCACATGTTCTTGAGAACAGTTGTGCATTTATTTGTTAAAAGTGGTTTGAAAACACGTTGTTCATTTCTTTATTTGTGGAGACATATTGAACATGTGTTTGTTATATAGCCAGTTCATTTCTGGAAGGTTTTAAATTCTGACCATCCTCAGATTGTGATTAGGGGAATTTTTTACTGCACATCTGAATCCCTTTATTCCACTGTGTTAAAGAATTTACTAAATAACTCCTATTCTGCTCCTATACAGTGCACAATTCACAACACAGTTTCTACACTGTGCTTTGTTTAATTTCTTAAAAAGCAGTAGCTCAAATGTGAAGTTCAACAGTATATCAAACATCACAGACATATTCTGCAAACTCCCACATTCCTATTGCCTTGTGTTGGCTATTAAAACCCTGAAAATAAAACCTCTTAGGAAATTCTTCTGTCACTGGGCCATGTAGAAGTGTGGGCAGGTCTGAAGCTGCGATTCTTCACCCAGCACACGAATAGAATTAGCTGTTGAGCTCAGTTTGGGGCTGAAACTGGAACAGCTGATGGATAAGCCTCTCTCTAGGGCTGGAATTACGGGTCATTGCTGCTGTGGGCCTCTCAGTCTACGCGGTTTAAAATGGGCATAATTCTCCTGACCATTTAAAGTTTCAGTAAACGTAACTGTAGCCATATGTAAATGTAACACTATCCATGGCTGACCACTGGTCCACAGGTCAACCTGCGGGCACTCGGAAACAATGAAAGCTATCAAGAGCGGCTGTCTCGACTAGAGGGAGATAAAGAATCTCTAGTGCTGCAGGTAAGACGTGGCAGTCAGTTATATTGTAATGTTAGTGTGTGTGTGTGTGTGTGTGTGTGTGTGTGTGTGTGTGTGTGTGCATGTATGTGTGTTCTTGTATGTTTTCAGAAGAAAACAGAGAAAAACAGATGTAACCTACAATTTAACCTACAATATCAGGACAAACAAAACGATAAAAGTGCTTTTTACAAAAGCTGAATTTTTTTAAACTGAAAGGACCAAAAGTAGATATGTCATAGTTAAAGTGATGAGTGCAATTAATTATTATTAACATCAGTAATTGTTTTTAATGTTAATGCATTTTCCTAGTTTGACCCTTCAAACCAGATGTAGTAGTTCAGGCTTTAAACATTAAAAAAAACTTACTTTAGGGTGAAATTTAAGCAAATAAGATGTGATTAATTTAAAATACCTATACAATAATGTATCTTACAAAATAATTCATCTTAAATCATTTTGGTTAAGGTTAGGGTTAGCTTTAGGATTAGAAAATTATTTAACCTCCCTGGTCAAATTATTGTTTTATACAAATCATTGTTTTGTCGATTTTCTAAGTGAAAATGACCCCATCTACTGACATTGTGCATGTGTCAGTGAGTTTTTATGTCCTGTGTGTTCATTTTGTACATTGTAGTGCTTTATTTAGCTCTTTTTTTCATGTCTTGGACATTAATTACAGTCCTTATGAATTATTGAATCATTAAACTACTCCTAACTGTCTTCTAAATGATTCAGACAGTCCGTGTACAGGGTTAAGTATACTGTGCTAAATATTAACAACCCCAACTGTAAGTCTTTGAATAGCCTGACTTCCATTAGAGGGGCTTGAGTAACCAGCAGCTGATTATTAGTGTGCTCTATAAGATCTCTGTGGTGGGCCTGAGAAGGAACGCCTTCCAGTGTCTGTGTATCGTTGTCTTGTGAAGCCGAGGTTTGAATGGTTATGATTGTTAGTGATGAGCACCTGCACCTGAACCAAGTGCTGGGAACAAACAGGTAATCCACCGAGTTGCTTAACTGGATTTCACGGTTCTGCTAGTGCTTTCAGCTTGAACTATATTATAGTGCCATCATGATTCTTAAAGATTTAGGGCAAGTCTTGCTTGTTTTTCTCAGGATTACCAGCTCAGACTGTGTTGTATTGTTAAAACACACAAGACCGGGCTTGCTGTGGCTTATTGGGTGTTGACACACTTCTGTGGGTGTATGAAATACAGAAAATGTTCCAGGGAACAGCACCTGGTGAAGGAGACGTCCTGAGCCTTTGTTTGAATTGCTGTTATTTGCTTGGTGAAATGATACACAGATTTTACAATACGATATGTTTTGCAGTTTTTATGTTTTCAGTACAGAAGTTAGGAAGAAATGCAACTACTCATTTCACACTAATTCATCAAAACAAGACCGCAGTGTCTGTTTAAACCATAATTAACACAACCAGTTATTTTCTTTTGCTGCAGGGGTCTGTACCACCAAGGACCTCCCTGCGATCTCATACTGCCTATATGGCACTGCACTGGTCCCCCCCCATGCTGGACCTTGCGGGTGGTGGCGGGCTGAGCCTGGCCAGGTTACGTGGCTGCCTGGCCACCAGGTGCCCGCCAAAGAACACTAACCTGAGGCCTGGCTCCAGGGCTAGGTCCAAGTCACCCCCTCCCTGGCAGGGTATCTTGTGTCCCTTGATCATGGATTTTGGATTTTCTTCCCCAGGTGGAGGAGTTTAAGTATCTTGGGGTCTTGTTCACGAGTGATGGGAAGAGGGATCGTGCGGCAGTGATGCGGTCACTATACCAGACTGTAGTGGTGAAGAGGGAGCTGAGCCATAAGGCAAAGCTCTCTTTTTCCCGGTCAGTCTACATCCCAACCCTCACCTATGGTCATGAGCTTTTGGTAATGACCAAAAGAATGGATCGCAGATAGAAGTGGCAGAAATTTGCTTTCATCGCAGTCTACTTGACAGGGTGAGGAGCTAAAACTTGGCAGGGTGAGGAGCTCAAAGTAGAGCCACTATTCCTCCACAGTGAGAGGAGCCAATTGAGGTGGTTCAGGCTTCTGATTAGGATGCCTCCTGGTCACCTCCCATTGGAGGTTTACTGGACCCACTGGAGGGATTATATGTCCAAGTTGACCGGGAGAGGCTCAGGGTCCCCCAGAATGTGCTGGAGAAGGCTGAAGGGACAGGGTCATCTGGGATTCTCTGCTTTCCCTGCTGCTACCATGACCCTAGCTGGACCAAGCGGTTTAAGATGATAATGATGATGTTATTTTCTTAGAAGAAAAAACAATTGAATCCCCTGAAATCCCAGGCTTATTACATCCTAAGGCTTATTATTATTCAATAACTGCATAGAGTACTGCAGTAGCCCTTAATGCAGTGCAATGCAACAGTAAAAATTAGTCAGGTTAACTTAAATTGATGAATCAAAATGAGAAGGTAATTGACTTCACAGCTTGTTAAAGTTTACTCAGTTTACTCTAGTCAAATGTTTTCTTAACTCACTTTTTTTTGAAACTGCATATCAGTTAACCCTCTGGGGTCCACAAAATTGTACTGATGTGAAAGACTCACATCAATTTACTCAGAGCAGTGTGTCCTGTGCTTAAATAGTTCCTCTTGCTCAGAGACAGAGCATTCAGAATTGAGTGTTCAAAAAACATTGTTAATTGTAGTATTAAACATTTTGGTATGTTTTTTTGATGCAATTGTCTAATTGCTTGATCATTGGGAGATCATTAGTTCACATCCTGGTGATACCACAGCCTCCATGGTCAGTAATAGTAGTAGTCAATAGAAATGAACAAATTGAGAGGGGGAGGAAACTAAAGTAAGTAAAGATTCAACAAAAAAAATAAGCAATTAAAGCTTAAAATGGCAGCACATTCACTGCTTTTTTGAGTAAACTCAACCTGACATAAAATGCAGTACTAAAAATGTAAGTACTTTTCACTGAAGTAAGTTAACTCAAAAAGACTGTGAAATCAGTTATCTAATCATTTTCGGTTGACTTGACTTTACATTTTACAGTGAATGAGTTATTCTTAAGTAGATGTTTGAACTCTCAAATAGCTGGACCGGTCAGCTTTTTTTCCCCTTGGCAGTTTGGCAAAGTGTTAGGGTGCAAATGGTCTCAGGTGCAGGGTGGCTGTCTCTTTTAAGGCTGGAGTACACCAACCAGACAGACATTCTAATGGTTGCAGTAGTCCTCAGAATGTCCAGAAACTGTCCAGAACTGGAAAGTCAAATGAACTAGAGTGAATGAGACTTTTAACAATTAAACACAGGTATGGCACTCTAACCAAACGTTTGTGTTTGTTTATGTTTGTCTTTGATTGTCTGTGTTTGTTGGTCATGTGCTCAGGAAGTGTTTAGCAGAACAGTGGAAACAATTAAACTTTGTTATCGTGTGACATATTTTTCTAGCATAAAATCAAACTGTTTGAGTCACAGTGTGCATTGTCTCACTACCCTGGATCCAAAATAAAAATAAATAAAAGAATAGCAGTATGCGTATCATTACACCCCTATCATTTATGTAATACCTGAACGCTAGGTAATGAAAGCTAATGGTGTTGAGTAGGGAAAGGGCTGACTCAGCTTGACTCACATGCTCTCTCTCTCTCTCTCTCTCTCCCACTCTCTCTCTCCCTCTTGCTCTCTCACTCTTGCTTTCACTCTTTCTCTCTCTTTCAAATACATACACGAACACATGCAGGTGAGTGTGTTGACAGACCAGGTGGAGGCTCAGGGAGAGAAGATCAGAGACTTGGAGAGTTCTTTGGAGGAGCTTCAGCACAAGCTCAACTCCACAGAAGAAATGCTACAACAGGTAATGTGAATGTTTACTATTTACTATATGCTACTGATAAAATCAATCAGAAAATGCCTCACTGCTTTACTGTGTAATAAAGTGAGGGTTGTTATATTCGCCTATGGTTACAAAAGGAGTATCTGATCTGTTTTGTAAATATGGTGAAGTCTCATAACCTCAAATGAACGCAGACACTTTGTGGCTGTTGCTGTCTGTTTAGTCTGACTGTTTTACAGTAACTTATTTCTGATGGATTTTTGTGTTCCCAGTTTGTTTTTCCTTTTTTTCTTCTCATTTTTTTCTTTCATTTCATGTGTTCCTTATTTTCATGTTCTCTTTCTTGATAGTGTTTTTATTCAGAGATATGCCAGACTTTTAGTTAAGAGCTTATTCATTAGTGTAACTTTAAACTATATTTGAGTTAAGTGTTTTGCTGGTATCTTTGTGGAGGATGTGAAGAGTTCTGAAGTTTAGAGCTTCATGGGAGGAAATTCCTCTGTGAGATTCCAAAGTGTCAGTGCTCACATTGCCTTGACAACCCAAATATTTGAAGGGGTTTGTTGTGTTCCAAGGTTGAGATATGACTGGGTTGGTGCCCAGTCTAGATGGAATGGTCAGGCCGGGTAAGCAGCTTCAGAGTTTCATCAGCCAGAACTGGAGTTGCTTCACAAAACAGGTTTTTCTCAGTTAACTGGATAATTTAATCCCAAAAGTAAACCTGGAGAGAAACATTTTTGTTGTTCAACCACTCCTGTGTTGCTTTGGCCTTGGTGATTAAGATGGTGAAGTTTCTCCCAAGCTTTAATTTTTAAGCAGACTGAAGCAGGTCTTGAAGTGTCTCCCTGTCTTTTCCACCATACATCCATCCTTCAGTTTCAACAAGATGTTCAGTCCATGCTGAGGAAACAGTTCCCACAACATAAGGCTGCCACCCCCATACTTCCCTCTTGGAATGGTGTTTGTTGAGAAATGGTCAGTGTTAGGTTTGTGCCACACATAGTGTTTTAAATTATGGCCAGAGAGTTAATTGTTGCTTCATCTGACTACAAAATCTTAAACACTTTAGCCGGGTCATAACATAACACTTGCAATCCAGATGAATCTGATGACGTTTTAGGGGGATTAAATATTTTAGCAAAGGGTGGTGGAAGGCAAAAACACTGTTACCTTGTAATGTAAGTAAATGTAAAGAGATTTTACTCCAAGTAATTTTAGAACATTTTTAGTCCATTCATCAATTTTCACACAACATAAAGGACAGCTGGTGTGTTGAAAGGATGTAGAAAAATAAAAATCGACAAAAGTAGAGATACATGGTTTTCTTTGGACAGCAACGATCTATATACACACACAAATATGTAGGTTGTTTTTTTTTTCTCCCTCTGGTACTCTATCCAGTTTTTTTGTTGTTGTTGTTGTTTGTTTGTTTGTTTGTTTTTTGGGATCAGTTCCATTTCAAAGGAACTAAGGGCCATTCCTTTTGGGCAGTCTTCCACATTTGGCCAAAGTTATCCAGTGTAGTGAGAAATTCTTGTGAAATACCCACTGAGCAGAGAAATGAGAAGAGATAACTGATGACATGATGAAGAGATATAAGAGTCAAAATGCAGTGAGATCAAAATGATCACTCATTCAGGTCAGTAAAAACTTTGGCAAAACATGGAGCTGTGCTCATACTCTGCCGATATAGGGCAGCCACCAGTCACAATATTTGCCTTATAAGAAAGATATCTAGTGCATTCCAGGACACTGCTGAGATGAACTGTCATTCTGCGCAGTTTACAAGTTTTCCATCTGATCTAGAAATGAAGGTGCATTTTCACTTTATACTGCATGTGCAGACCCAGTTTTTCCTGCAGAGTTAATTGCACATTTCTGTTTTATTTTCTTTCCTTTTAAAAAAGTGCAGCTCCTGATTGAATCTGCAGCTTTGGCTTCTGTGATGGGAAGTATTTTTAGTGTGTTTGCCTGAGATGTGGTCATTATGAGGTTTTGGCCTTCAAAAGTAAATCTGATTCCAGTGACACAGCTCTAATATTTTCCATGTGTAGTCTCTGAAAGGCACAAAGCATGCTTAAAGCTGAGCTGCGCGGCCGAGCGTTTGAAATACTTTTTCGGACTGCTCCATGTGACAAAATGCATTGCTGCTTAGAATCACCTTCAGAGCAGTCAATGAAGTCAGTGTCTTTTAAACAGAGAGGTTAAAGTCTGTAGTGTTGTTTTAGTGACTGATATTCACTGTGAGTTTTAAGTGTGTTTATCTGAACTTTTTTCTTCATGATGATTGCCCACAGTTCTCACACAAATGGAAAACCACCTGTGTTCCTGCCCATGTGCTAACCCTCTCCAGGTCTGGAGGAACTTTTTCTCTCCAGCTCTCTCTCATGTGTCATTCCCTCACAGAGAGGGGAAGTAAATATAGCGCTCACAGTCTGTGTATATTTAGCCAAAGTGAAGCTGAGTCTCGCCAGAGTTCAGGGATTTGTTTGAACTCACTGAGCAAAGGTCTTTGAACAAAGTGTTTTGCGTCTGATTTTACATGTGTGTCTATGTGTCTCTGTGTTTATGGACTTCTTAGGAGCTTCTGAGCAGAACGTCTCTTGAGTCCCAGAAACTGGATCTAATGGATGAGGTTTCCTATCTGAAACTGAAGCTGGTGGGCATGGAAGAGAGGCAAAACCACAACGTGGAGAGACAACACAAAGCTGAGGTACTGCACTGCTCCTAACCCTCTAACAAACTGAGGCTTGGACAGCCTCACAGTCTTTATAATGAAGTATGAGAAAGTTGTAAAGTTCATAATAGGGCTGTACTTTGACTAATTTTCACTCATAAAACACTTGATATAACATCAATATAATTGAGCTCTATGTGTTTTGGGGGCTGTTTTAAATGTGTTAAGTTTGGGAAAATATCAGGGTCTCACTTCACTCTAACTCATTTTTGGACGCTGCAACTTAAACTTAAAAGTCTTTTTCCTGACTGGTTCCTCAAGGCAGTGAGTGAAGTGCCCCATAACCACAGGTTCAGGTTCAAATCCACACCTAGAACACTGAAAACTAAGATTATAGGCCATTGCATATAAGTTCTGGTGTCCCTATTCAGACTCTCTTGTTGCATCCTTAAATAAGACATGTCTTTTTTTATTTTTCACCACTGAACCTCTTTAAAAATGTTACATTTAACACCAAAGAAGCGTTCAGTGTTATCTAGATAATCTGAAAAAACATGATACTTCTATGTGAAGCTTTTGTTTTTGCTTAAATAAACCTGAAATCTTCTTCCCCCTGTAAACCCATGTGCCATATTAAGCTCAATTAATCATATCAAAGTTCCTGTTTTGGGTCTTGTTTGCACGACTGTGCGTTAATGGATGGGGTAAAATAATCAATTATTATATATTTCATTATGAGATTATTAACCAATAATATCATGCTTTACCTCTGACTCCCACCACAATTGTGATTTTGCATTGGCTTTAAATCTTGTTCATTTTTTCATTGTGTGTCTGCTCTTTCCAGGGTACACATTAGGCAAATTTCCACATATATGAGCAGTAACTTTTTTGCAACAACAAATTTGTGGTTTTCTTACACTAATTACAGCTTTTTTGTAAAAGGAAAGGGTGTGTTTCAGATGTAATTACTGTGTTGGCCATGACAACTAGTGTTTGCTGATGTAAAACTATACCGTGCCTTAAGGTCTGGGTTTTGTGTGTGTGTTTTTCGAGGTTGTCTCTGTGTTGACAAATTACATCCAGGGTTCGAAACAACTAAGTTTTATTGGGGGAAACCCTACTAATGTTTGGTGGGAGGGGGAAACTCTGTCTTTGGAAATATACCTTAGGATTTTTTAATCAAACTATAAGTATGTAAATCTAGTGCATTTCCTGCTTTCAAAATAATATAGGAGATTTTTTATGCAAAACTAAATTCCCCTTGCTTTTAAGTTTGAATTAATATGAAATCATTCACTGCCCTGTCCAGGCAGTCCACATGTGTAAACTTAACTGCAAAAACAGCTTGTTTTATATTCGTTGTTTCTGTGATGCCACGAGAACAAACTCATTTACATATATCCATCTATTCAGTTTCATTTATCATATATCAGTCTTAAAGGCATGGTAACAAAAACAGCCTGTTTAATTCGAAGGGATAAAATAATTTGGAAAATGGTCATGTAAAAATATATTATGGCTATTTTTGGTGCGTAAAGCCAAACAAATATTCTAAGAGGACCTCGAAGGAAAAAATAAAATACAAGAAAACTGTAGAGGAAGTCAAGAGCTAAAAGCTTGAACGCAACAACTTGTCAAACAACTGCTATTTAGACAAAATACTAAACTTTATTTTTTACATATGATGTGATTCACTAAAGAAGAACATCAAAAATGTTCAGTGGCCATTCAGTTGTATTTATATAGTTATATTCATGTATTTAAACATCTTACACGCAGTGAATGGCTCACATTAGTAGGCTAGTTAGCTCAGTATCACTCATTACTTCCTCTTTGGGTTCTTTTGGCTAGTGTGTTAATTTATCATGGACGTTTTAAATTAGCTTTACTTATTTACTTATTATTAAATAGCTTACTTATAGAAATTTTCAACAAACGTGTTTCATCCAAAGAATATTCATTATGTAGAGTAGACTTGACACTTAAATGACTACTAAAGTTTGAGGATATTAGAAAGCAATCTACCACTTTTTATATTGATTTTGGCTGAACACGTTACCATGGAGACTAGGTTGGTGGACCCACTTTCCATTGACTGAATGGGCTGTAGGCTGGACTCAGGGTGTGTTCATGCACATGCTTTGAAACAGAGTAAAACAACTATATACGTCTTCTCTATAAAAAGAATTGCCTAGATTTCAAAATATGAGCCAGAACGCCATTACATCCTGACTTTTACTCCCAGAACGGCAAATTTCCACCCCTGGTTACACCCACAGTTAAACCAGTCATGAACATTATTACTATTTCAGATGCAGGCCTTCAGTTTAATGTGGTAACGTTTCTGCTGTTATTATCCTTTTCGTAGTCTAGATATCCATGCTGTCTTGAGTGGTTGATAGAGTAGTTGTTGAAGTTGATCTATATTTTAATCTGGATGCAGCACACAAGCTCCACCAATCCTCTGACAACTGCTGGGCTGCATTCAAAACGAAAGAATGGCAGCAATCTGGCTCTGAGCATTCTCCTGGCATGCTGTCCCTCAGTCGGGGGGAGCAGCCCCTGGCCCTGGCCCACTCTGCTGGACTCTATAGATAGCAATCAGCGGCCAGTCATCTCGTCTGCTCTTTTCTGTCTCTCCCAGTATCACATGAAACTTCCTCCCTTTACGTGCCAGTCATTGCTTGACTGATGTTTACGCTAGTGAGAATGTGGCTGATTCCACTGCTAGGTTTGCTTTGCAACAAAACAGACACCCAAAGTTTATTGCACTGTAAGTTTATTAATTTGTTTAGTATTAAAATGTAAATGTTACATTTAGGGCCTGTGACTATCGATTATGTCTACCACTTATTTTGATGAGTAATCATTTCTTTGGGAACATTATGGTCAGTCCGTGCTGCTTCATTTAGCCGAGGCAGGCTTACCACAAACTTCTAGAATCAGTTACAGCTCAGTTGGTGGAAGATTTTTTCTTTGTTTTTCTTTCTTTTTGTAGCTCCCAAACTGGAATATCATTCCAGAGAACATTAGAAATGCAAGCTTGATGGGTAAATTCTGATTAAAAACATATTTCTTTAAACTAGCATACATCTAGAAGTATCCATCTAAAAGAGGAAATCCAACAAGCCTGGTTGAGCATCAGTTGTGCAAACTTATGCACTCCATGCCTAGAAGACTGTCATCCAAAAGAAGAGATATGCAGCAAAATATAAACCCAAATAAAAATCAAATACTAACTTACATAAACAAAAGAGATGCTAATGTTTGTCCTGCTAGTGTTTGAGTACTTCCACTCACTGTACTTAAGTTAGTAAGTTTAAGCCAGTTAGTAAACCTGATCGTTATTGCTGAGTGTTATGAATTTTTTCAATGGATGCAAACAGAGTAAATAATAACATTACCTTGGAAAGTAATAAACAAACAAACATAAATTGTATCCAAAGATGCTATACAACGTCATAATAAAATTATTATAAATATTATATATATATATATATATATATATATATATATATATATATATAATAAAAATGTAAAATATGTGGAAAAACATCATCAATCAGATTTTTTTAAATTGCCATTTAATCACTGTTAAATTTTAATCCATACACTTTTATAAACCAAGCTATCAAGTTTAATCGTGAAATCATATAACCTAGTTATTTTTGTTTCACAGAGGAAATCTTTCCTGTTTCCCTGTTTTAGACAGCTTTATACATGTTTTAATAGAATTAAAGGTCAACTCAACTCACAGTACATATTTGAATTTGGCTTTCCAGACGCTGAAGTCATATGAATGCAAAATTTGAAGCTGGTTCGCATTTAGATCCTAAATGCCCACACCATATATCCTGGAAACGGGATATTGCCATTTGGCTCCTAAACAAAGAACCTTATACTAGAGGCCTTGGCTTGCAAAATTTAGGTCAGGGAGCTGTTTACCCTGGCTGTTCAGGATGATTTCCCAAGGCCCTGCCAATGGCAGTACCTTTGAGTCCTTCCTTAGCCTGTATTCCATGGTGTTTTCTCAGTGTGGTTTCATTCTAGCCTTATAAATGTCCTGTTGAGGGACACACTTGTACAGTCCTGAAATATTCAAGCCAGGAAAAGCTGGCAAGTGGCATAAGTCAAAAAGCAGATCCTCTGACATAAAGGAAATGTGCCTTCCTGAATGTATTTGACCCTACTCATATAGGCATGAACGCACATATATACAATATCATGCATGTCTCCTGAGTGCTACTCCTCTTCCTTGTTGCCTCTTTTTGTGTTTTATCTACATTTCTCATGCTTGCTCTCCTGTCCAATTCTTTCTCCCTGACAGAGCGTAGTGAATCTGATTAGTGAGCTGCAGGAGCAGATGTGTAGGATTCAACAAGAGATCTCTAGTAAGATCCAGGAGAAAAAGGCCGCAGAGAGCCAAGATGTGGACCCTGGGCAGGGTGGGGAAAGTATCCCAGCTGAATCTCCTCTGAATGGGTCAGTGCAGGCTGAGGACAGGCCTGTTGTGGAGCAGAGCAAGCAAGATTTAGGTGCTGAGGAGCTCTGTCGCTGTGGAAGAGAAAGTGTAGGCACTGTATGAATCTAATTGACTTCAGAGTTCTGTCTCTGATGGATTGTTGGACTGCTGTGAAAACTGGCCTTTGCTGTCTTGTCATTTGCTAACCAATATTAATACCTGTTATATATCCATGACTTGTGTCTGTGATAGTAATCACAGTATGCTTGGCAATTCGTGTTTGTGGTTTGTTTTCATTCTCATTTGTTCTTTGGTCTGGGATGTCTAACAGAGTATGTGCATGGGACTGGTTAAATTACAGCTGATTCTTTTTTATTTTTTTATATAATGCTTAAGGGGACACTCCAGCTAAAATGAAAAATTTAAACATTGCTGCATCTGTTGTAAACGTGCTTACTCACCTCCTACAGTGGTGCCACAATAATCTCAAGAGTGAGATTTTACAGTTTAAAAACTAGCTTTATGATTAGCTGATGACTCAAATGAGGTATGTTAAGGGAGGTAGGAAGCTGAACAGTGCTGTATCCTGCTTAGACTGGAGTCTAACACTGCTGCTCGAAACCCTCTGGAATGATTAGAGCATGGATTCAATATAAATACTTTTTTCTGGGCAGTTGTCTGTGATCATCTCCTTATGCTGTGTTTTTCCAAACAGGGTTTGCTCCAGGAACTGAGATTGCTCAAAAATAAAGTTGACGAACTTGAGGATGAGAAGTCCCAGTATGAGAGGAAGCTCAAAGCTACAAAGGTACTGCCACATAAAGCACCTTATTACGAGTGTATAATGACCTGATTCACACACAACACATGGCTGCACCTCCTCATTATTTTACATCTGTATTTTAACTTTCCTTACTGACAGTGCACAGTCTTCTTTTCAGAACTCTCCCACTCTGTACACTACCCTTCAAATGTTTGGAATCACTTGTCATATTATGTTATATATTGCAAACTAGGCACCAAAGGGTATTTTTAGATGCAGTAGTATGTATCTAGTACATTTGGAACAAGAAGTCATCATTAAATAATGTAATTATTGTTGTTCAATACTTTTTTGATATTTGCTTTGATATTTGATCACCACTATTCAAATATGAAGCATTCTGGTTGTTACTTTCATTATAACTTATAGCTTGTTCAGTTATTTTTAGAGCTCCTTCTTAGCTTCCTACTACTTATTTGAAACCTGTGAAGTTGCACAGAACTATCATATTTGCAATATTTAATACTTTTTATTGTTGAAAACATTTATTCCAAACTTTTAAACTGTAGTGTACACTTAACTCTGCATCTCTCTTCATCTCTCTCTCTCTCTCTCTCTCTCTCTCTCTCTCTCTCTCTCTCTCTTCCCTCCCCTCCTCCTCTTTTTGTAGCTGTCTATCTCTTACTCTCTTCACGTATGTTACCAGTCTCTAGTGACTCAATTGTCTAATCTGAGGCTGACGGTGGAGCAGCTGCAGGTGGAGAGGCAGCAGTGGGAGGAGCGCAGCAGAAGCCTGCAGGTGCCCCCACCTCCTCACCTCTGCCACCTCCTCTCTTACCTCTTCTCCTACCTCCTCCACTTCCTCCCCTCCTCCTCTCTTCTACCTTCTCCACTTCCTCCTATCCTCTCCTCCTCTGCCACCTCCTCTACCTCCACTCCTCTCCCACCTCCTCCACTTCTTCCTTTTTTCCTCTCCTCTCCCACCTTCCCTCTTATCTTCTCTCCCACCTACTCCATATCTTTCCTTCTTCTCCCACTTCCTATACTTCTTTTTCTTCTTATTTCCTGTCTCTCCTCTCCCACCTCCTGCCCTCTTCTCCTCCTCTCCTCCCTCTACCCTTTCCTCCTTTTCTCCACTTTTCTCCCGCCTCCTCCACTTCCTCTCCTCCTCCCACCTTCCTCATCTCCTCCATCTCTTCTACCTCCTCTCCCACCTTATCCAACATCTCTCCCTCCTCTTCAGCTTCTCTCCAACCTCCTCTCCCTCCTTCATACCCTTCTCCCCATTTACTCTGTCATATCATTTACCTTCTCCACCTCCTATCTCACTTCCTTCACCTTCTATCCCACCTTCTCCACCCCTCCACCTGTGCTCCTGTGTCATCTAGTATGTCCTCCACTCATTTCCTCGCTCCTCACTTTTTGTCCTCTACAGCTCCTGTGCCATTTCCTTTGTCATCTTCTATCCATAGTCCTCTAATTTACTGCATACTTTGTCCATCTTTGATTAACAGAAACACTGTCATCCTCCCAGATACAGCTGTTATTCTTTGACCTTGACTCACATTAGCTGCCCAGTTCACTGCCCCTGGCCCTGCAGCATGACATCTCCTGCATGTGTTAATTGTCCACATGTCCATGCCACATTACTGTAAGACATAAAGTCATTGCTAAAATGTTCAGATGGTTTGAGAGTTTAACCCTTACATGGCTAGATGTATTATTGATTCACATTGCTTGAATATTCATATGTACTTAAAATTAATTACCTAGTTATGTATTATCTGTTGTTATTTCTACTGTATTGATTGAATGTTCAGAAACCACACTCTCAACGGAATTTCTCAACTGACATAAGTAAGTAAGATGTAAGAAAAATGTCAGAAGAGGTGTTTTAAGTCATATACACTATGGTGGACCTATAAGAGGGTTAAGGGAAACTCTCACTCAGTGTTTATTTAAACCGTACAATCTGTTCTGCATACTTTAGTTGCTATGTTGTGATCTGCTTATGTTGTAAACATACTAAGGTTCTGTGTTCATGTTCTGGATATTGTTTGTTTGAAAAATTGTGCTAAATTATTTGTAACCTTTTCTCTTTGATTCTTTCACATCAAACCATCCTCATTCTTCAGCCTTCTAATTCTATTTGCAAAGAGAGATGAGCATACTTTGCTTATTCACATGAACATACCAGTTAATAAATACCTGCTGTGTTTCACCTCCAGGCAGAGATCTCGAGCCTTCAGCAGCTGCTGCAGTGTAAGAATGCTGAGATTGAGAACCTTCAGGCCCAGCTGCTCTCCAAAGCGCCTGTGTCTGTGGACAGTGCAGAGAGAGGTACCTCATTTCTGCTTTAGCCCCTCAAAGGTGAATTCCGCTGATTTTTTAATCATTTGATGAATTTTACATAATTAAATCATTAAGATGTAAACAAAGTATTTTAGGGTGGTTTGAAGTGAAATGCTCTGTTGTAGAGAAACAATGAATAATTGTCAGTGGTGGTGATAAAAAAACAGACGTCTGTTTAATGCCTCTAAAAGTTCCATCACAGAAAGTTCTTGGATGAAATGGTTATGAATACTCTGCCTGATACCTGACACCATGTTTTATGATGGTTTTGAGATAAGATTTTGTACTAAAGTGGGTTTTTTAATACATTAAGTTGGGGGGTACATGCAAGGTGATGTGAGACAAAATAGCCCCCAAAGAAAACCATTTCAGATTTCCCTTTACTTTGGCACCTTCAACATTACATATAGAAGCTCATGTAGGATCACTAGTGGTTCTAGATGGTAATATTTGCATTGTAGACATTGAGACCCCTGGTTCCTGTCACCACCACTGGAAAATAATCTGAGTTAGTATGTTTCTCTACAATGAACCATTTCACATCAAACCGCTCTGAATAACTAGTTTTGAAAATTTTAAAAAATTGGTGGAATTACCCTTTAATTGAGGTTACTGAAAATGCTGTATGCTGTAAGCTGGTTTCTGTGAGTGCAATAAGAGAAAGCCATGTTCATTATAAAGATAACTAACGCATTCAACATGACATATATTTTTATTTTGTCTCATTTACATAACTTTGTAACTGCACTGGACACCACAAGGCAAAAAGGAAAATCATGGAAAGAGTATTATGCTGGCTACATTTATGATGAGCATGGTTTGCATTTATTGCTCTCACAGAAAGAAGATCATAGTTCATGCATGGGCCTGATCCTGGTATTGAATACATGGCTCTGCAGCCTGTTTATTGTTACTACAGTTAAGTTTGGAATAACATTATTCAGTTGTAACATATACAGAGTAGATTAAAATATTATAAGCTAGACATTAGAAGGTGTTTTAAGATGTTTTGTTCAACATGTTGAACAACAAGAAGTTATTGAATAATGAAAATTTTTAGTAATTTCTTGATGTTATGTGCCTTAAAATTTGATCATTCTCAATGTTATACAGCTTTCTAAGTCACTATTATGTAAAGGTAAATAAATAAAATTAAGTTTTCTTACTCACTTAATGTTTATCATTCTGAGCATGTCTAAAATCTCTCACAGCTTTTTTTTACAGCTTCCTACTAATTAGTAGAAATCTATAAAGCTCTAGAATATTAGCAGTATATTATAATCATTTTATATACCAAAAAAAAACAAATTATATACCAAAAAAAAACAAATTGGTTTTATATTATTGAAAAAAAGTCTTTCTAAATGTTTAAACAGTAATGTCTTATGGAAGATCTTCTAATAGTAGCCCAACACATTTGACTGAAAATCACTCCTTTGTGAGTCCAGTAACAGTGAGAACAGTTTCTGGTTTGTGCAACTGCATATGTGTGGTGTCTTTACAGTAAGTGTTTGTGATGTGTGCTTACAGTTCGTGTTTGTATGGTGTACAGATGTGTATTCTGACTAATTTTGGTACTCAAGCATCTGTAAAAGTTGGAATTTGGTTAAAAAAGGGCTTTGATTGATATCAATATGTTGACAATTACGTTCTCAATGCAGTGTAAAATGACAAGACATACAGCACTGGGTAAAAGTCTGAGACCACCTTTCATTTATTTAATTTCTAGTCAAAAGGACAAAACGACAAGTACAATCTTTTCATTTTCCAGCATCAGGGAAAAATACAGCTTTAATTCTTTTCAGGAGACTTACTTTCAGTTTTCCAGAGAAATCTGCAGGTTCACACCTCCAGTTCAGTCTTAGAAGTTGGTTGTATTTTCTGCTCCTCACGATCCAAGTGATCCCAAGCACATTCAGTGATGTTGAGGTCTGAACTCTGGGGTGGACAGTCCATAGTTCTGAGAGCACCAGCAGCTTATTTGTTTGATTTGCAAGTGTTCTTCAGTTTTGACTATTACATTTTCTCAGTAACATCATCTTAACACCAACACATCCTTCAAAGCCCATAGTGTTGAGTTGTCTTCTCACAGTGGAAGGATGGACAGACACTGAAGGGTGGTCTCTGTATAACCTGTGTAACTAAAACAAAGTTAGTGATGGAGAGCTAAAAAAAAAGTAGCCTACATGATTGATTACTGGTCTGTAATTACTGGCCCTATTTCTCCATTTGCATGGTTCAAAGAATCCATAGTCATTTTGGTAATTGAACACTGTTATCTGGAACAGTTGACTGAGTTGTCAGCACACACCTCTTGTATAGTGTGATGTTTGTGTCCTGTTTGCACACGTTTGTGTGTGGTGACTAACAGCATCTCTGTATCCTCTTCGCCTTGCTCTCACCATTAGAGGAGATATACAGGAGAAGGCTCAACACTAAACGTAAGGATTTTCATGTATTTGCACACTGATACAAAAACACAAGCATAATGTATGAGGTACTTAAACCGATAAGCACTGTCACAGCTACATACAACACCTACTTCCACTGTCGCTGCTCATCTTCTGCACTTTTTCCACATTTGAAAATGTTTCTGTTCTGCTGCTGCTTTTCTACGGATATAGAAGTGAAGGCAGTGCCTAAGCTCCTGCCCTAGGATTTCTCCTATGCTTATGTAATAGCACAACAAAAGACACGTCACTGTCAATTCTTAGACCAAGAAAATTACTTTGTCATGCTTCTTCCTTATATTGCACTGAAGAGAGCTTCCAGTCTGTTATGATCATGTAGAATATAGTATAATACTCTGGCTTAAGTTTGTCCTTCACTGAAATCAGATGGATTAAACTGGCTTATCCTCCCTCAGCAAAGCTGCATTCTAGTACAGTAACTCAATCAATACCAGTGTGTCACAACACAACTTTCTGATCTTCTTGTGCATGCAAACAGAGTTTGATCTGTCTGGAGGCATAAGTGCAGTGTGCTTGTAATGAAAGCCATGGTGACTATGGTAAAATCACACAGTACTGTAGCTTTGCAATGTGGCACTCTTTTTGCTGTAATAGATTTTCTACAAAGATGTTCATTTGATCTCTTTCTCAACAGATCAGGAGTTACAAAAGCTAAAAACAGGGATGGAATTATTAATCGCAGCCAATGATGAAAAGGTAAAGAGAATTCTTGGTCTCAGTGTTCAGAAATAAGGAGTGAATGTAGTGCACATACAATGCGGCATAGTTGGGCAGAAGGGAAAACGTTGTGACCGGAAACACTTTTAAAGCACTCCACTAACCAACAATTCTGATCACCAATAATACTGGCCAATATAATTACATATGGTGAAAAATAGAGATGGTACCCTTCCAGTATCGGTATCAAATCTGAACTTCTATGATGTGAATAGCACACAAAGTATGTTTTGTAAGGAAAAAGAATGTTTGATGACACCCCTAAAAAAAGTGGTCCTTTAAAGGTTCTTTAGTGAAGGAAGTAGTTATGTAGAACCACGACAACTCATAGAATCATTTGAATGCATAAACAGTTTTTTGCATGATTTAAATGAGGGAAAACCTGCCATATACGGCTCTTTAAAGAAACTTTTTAAAAGTAGTTTGACTATTGTTACAAGTTTTAGAACTTTTTTATTATTATATATGCTAGTTTCAGCATATCTTACTGTTAGATGCTCATTATATGTGAAGTGCTTCATTTTAAAGCTTAGTGTTTTTCCAAGTCAAAAATTGTCCTAAATGGTGATTTGCCAACAGTTAATTGTCAGATATGATTGCCATTTCCTAAACTCCAATAGACAGCAGAATTGCTTAAGTCTTAAATAATATAAATATTGTAGCGCATGGAGTGAAGCTTCACAGAACTCTTAGTGTTTTTGATTATTTCTGTAATTATTCTTTTTATTTTTCAGTAGTTCTTTTCATATATAGCTTTTCTTTGTTAGAGCATATTGTTCAGTCATACATTATCATAACTTAGAACTTAGAATTTCACTTGCGTTTATACCTGTATTGCTGTAATAAAGATGAGCAATTGGCAGTTCATTGTAGTATAAAACAAGTTGTTCAGTATGCCGATAAATATATACCAATAAATCTTAGACATTAATATAGGCTTATTGTATTGCCAGTATTATTGTATGTTGATCGGGCCCCAAGAGACAGTGGCATTGATTGATCATAAAGTAGGCGAGTGAATATATATTGTTTGAACATATATTTGTCTGAAGAAAACCTTGTATCTCCATTTGGGCATTTTTATTGTTTATGACACATGCCCTTGTCATGCAAAATATTAAAATTTCAAGATGAATGGACCAATAGAAATGCTCTAAAATAGCTTGGGAAAAGATCTTGTTCCAGTAACCTCCATTCAAATTAAAACATGTTTCTCCTTCTCCTGTAAAGTTACTGTTTTAGGTGTGTGAGGTTTTGTTGAGACAACAACAGTATGTAGTTATGTGCTTATAGCTATTAGAAAGTCTCATATCAGTTTGCAGAACTCCAGCCAAAGTCGTTTCCCTCAGCCCAGTCTTCTAGGTGCAAGCCTCTGCCAAACCCCATCATGGATTCGCAGTAGGAGAGACGTGGCAGGGTTTGCCCTGAGGCACCACTTCAAAATACACCCACTTCTCTGAACTCACTGCCAAATCTCTGCCTTTCCAATTTAGCCAATGTACCATCCAGCTTTGCTGCCATGTATGTTATATATGATTGGGGCAAAGAAGCTTGCTTTGAAAATGTATGCCTCCACAGATTACTGATTAGCTGATTAAAACAGTAAATATGAATCTGAAAAATTACTCATAATATATTGTAATATATACACATACATGGGGAAATATTGCTCTAAAGTTCCTTTTTTATTTGACCTTATTTTCCTTATTTTCTGTTCTCTGCATGTATCTGCTTTACATAATACTTGTATTTTTATGTGGATTTTTTTGCATTGTAATCCATATCATCTCCAAAATAGTAACTTTACAGTAGAAGGAAAAAAATTCTTACCTTGTAATGTAAGTTAATTTAACCAGGTTTTTTTTTTTTTAAGTAATTTGGGACCAGTTCTGTCAGTTTGTTCTTCATAAAGTTTTAACACAACTGAAAGAGTTTTGCATGACAGTGACGATTTACTAAATACATGAGTCATAGTATCGATTGTATTTCTTTTTTCAGGATCGGCGTATAGAAGAACTCTCTCTCCTCCTGAGCCACTGCAGGCAGTTTAGAGATGGCATGACCTTGGTTCAGCGTAAGTCTACTGAACTGTCTTTCCTTTTTACCTTGTACTCAACAATTTCAAGTTATGTAAGTGAAAAGAATGTAAGAAAAAGTCAAATAAAAGCTTCTAGGGTGCATATGTTCTAGCACAGGGTGTTACATAAGCCTGGTCTGAATTCCAACTGTCTTGTGTTTGTAAAGATGCCCAATTTAATTTTTATTGTAATTATTGATCTGTTTTCACTCCTAAGCCTCAGCAACAGCATCTCAACAAGGCAGCAGTGAGGAAGAGGAGCCGAGCGGAGGAGTGAGGACGAAGGCTCTGACTGTTAAGCCTCACTCTGAGGTATAAATGGGAACTGTGTGGATATGGCTATATGATCCTTTTGCTGTTATTACAAACAAGTCTACTACTGCTGCTTTGTACTCTAACGTTTAGTTGTCTTCATTTAAGCTGACATCCAGTGCTTCCTCTCCACTTCTTGTGTCCACACTGTCCAGTCAGAAGGAGACAGAATCCAGGTACAGCCATCTCATTTAATTCTCAGGAGGATTGCAGACCTAAACTGTTCATGCATATAGGGTGCACAAAAAAGTGAATAAACCACAGTTCATAGATCTTATGTTTGTGCTGAGCTTTTACATTCTAAAAATGCCATCATATGTGAAAGAAACAATCACTAAATGGTATCCTAGTTTATTTGTGCAAATAACACATTGTATTGTTGTCTCAGGCCACATACAAAACCTCTCTCCTGCAGCATGGAAGACTTGAAAGGTGGAGCAACACAAAAGGTCAGCTGTCTTTTTCGCTGTGGAGACTGTATAGATTGTAACTGTGGTTCTGTTCTTGTTTCTTTGTTCTCTGATCTCATCGCTGATTTGTCTTTTCCAATCTGTAGACTCCTGTGGAAGTTGTTTCTTCAGAGGAGGTATAGATTCTTGTGATTAACCCCTTCATTGCTTTTTAAAATGAGACTGCTATGATCTGCTGACACATACCTCAGTGAAGCTTTTAATACTCATTTCATGTGCTGCCAAGAGTGGGTCTACACAAGATACAGTGCCTTGCAAAAGAAATTGAAAAGTTATCAGATATATCTGAGTACAAATGTCATGTTTTGGACTGACCCTCAAGATTTATTCATTTAAGGTGATATCAGTTTTATGTAAGAAAATATTCTGGCACAAAAATTACTAACTGAAAAATGCTATCTTATATAAGTATTCAACCCTTGTGTGGTGGAAGCCCAAAGTTTACGCAGTTGAAAGATTACAACTGGCCTATACTTTATTCAGAATCACCTTTTCTCAATAAAAGACTGCCATGATTTAAGTACCATAGGTCAGACTGTGAATCTGAAGGAAAGCTGTGAAAATGAAGACCAAAGAGCATTTTAAGGAAGTTAGAGAGAAAGTTAGTGGTATGCAGAAGATGCGAAAAAGCTACAAAATAACATTCAAGTATTTGGATATCCCAGTGAGTGCTGTTGGATCAATGAGGAAAAGGAAGCTGCATCATACTACCCAGCACTGCCTAAACAAGGCCATCCCTCAAAACTCAGCATCAGAGCAATAGGGAGACTTGTGAGGGAAGCCACAGAAAGGCCAACAAATCACTCAGAAGGAGCTACAGAGTTCAGTGGCTGAAATTGGAGTGAAGGTGCACCAGTGAACGATATTAAGAGCTCCTCATACATCTGGCCTGTATGGTAGGGTGGCTAGAAAGCAGCCATTACTGAAAAAAAAAAACACATCAAAGCACGTTTGGAGTTTGCCAGAAAACATCAGAGTGACCACACTAAACTATGGGACAAGGTTTTGTGGTCAGATGAGGCAAAAATTTAGCTTTTTGGACAAAATTCAAAACGCATTTAAAACGCTGTGTGTGGCACAAACCTAACACTGCCCATTTCTCAACAAACACCATCCCAGCAGTGAAGTATGGGGGTGGCAGCATCCTGTTGTGGGAATGCTTTTCCTCAGCGGGGACTGGGCATCTTATTAAAATTGGAGGACGGATGGATGGTGCAAAAAACAGAGAGATTCTACATGACGACCTGCTTCAGTCTGCTTAAAAACTAAAGCTTGTGAGAAACTTCAATGAATTTTGACTTTGAAAATTATTTTAAGAGCATATTGGTTTGCAATAAAAGTGTTCACTGGAACAATCCAAACAAATCTGATGGCTTTTAAGGGGGAAGCAATACCTTTGCAAATTACTGTATAATGTTTGTTAATCACTTTTATATCAAAATCACAATTTCAAAAAAGTGCAATTTTCAAAATGCAGCATTGTCTTCAATTATTTTTTTGTTAGGTGGTGAGTGCAGAAAGTCAGATAAATAATGTTATTGCAAACACGCATAATTCTTCAGTTGAGGACAAGCTAACAGCTGAAGTTAGCAAGTTAGCTATTGGCTGTCTGCATATCTCATTACAGTTTTCACTCCTTTCTCAGGTTGAAAGGGTAAAACACTGATGGTTACCAATTTATTCTGAATGTATAACATTGCTGTTTTATTTATGATTTTGTTTGATGACTGAGGTAAGAATTAGGCTACAGTAGTGCTAGCTTAGATATATTTATTAGCCCACACATCAGTGGCTAAGCTAGTAGTTAGGATTGGCTGACACCAGAGGGATACCCAGTGGTCGTATGATGTTTCATTGTAATGCATGCTGGGAATTGTAGTGAGATAAGGTTAATTAACAAAAACAAAATTGTGAAGGCTGCACTGCAGATTACACAACTCTAGTTTTAAACTATTTTTAGGCTGGAATGTCCTCTTGATGTATAGAAAATATTTTGCAGTTACAATATTGGTCAGAAAAACTACATTTAAATATTTTTCTCCAATTCATTCACCCCTGCTTCTTCACCAATCTCAGATGTTCCAAAGAAGTGTTTCTGTGGATTTTTGATTATTCAGTGCATTCATGTAATCAAATAAAGATTATGTCACATTATTGATACATCAGTGCGTTTTTAATGTATTACAAGGTGTATCGCAATCACAGTAATCACAGTGCTACAATTCTGTATACATTGTACAGCCCTACCTGAGCAATTACTGTCTGTACAACCTTGAATACCAGCTTAAATTTTTTAACAAGTTACTGTTGATTTTACTGTACTTTTCAGAATCAGAACTCAGACCCCAAACAGCAGACTGGGAAATCCTCTTTAACAGAGGCCGGGAAGAGTGATAGCTCAGAAGCAAGGTCTCGAGACAGCAGTGAGGATGGAGACCTCAACCTGCGTATGAACCACATTACACTCATGCTATTGACAGCACTGTAATTTAAGCATGAAATCACTCTGCATTGTCAGTAAAACAGTAGTTCACTAAATAAGCACCTTGTTATACAATACGTAACACTCAAGCCCTTAAACTGAAAGACCACATCACATCATTTTCTCACTCTTGTAACTGAATAACTTAGATTTTAATTTAAGTCCTAAACTTAATAAATGATTATTAAACCTGTTTAAACCTGAAGGCATTAAAGGGCCCATATCCTACATTTTACTTGTTTTTTTCCCTCTGAGCTTCCTCTAATGTTTGGGTTTATGTAACAAAAGCAATCATAAGTCATGTTATGCTACAATTTCCAACCTCTCTTTACTCTTAGAATTAAAACAAGCTGCTTGTCACTTTGCCTTTAAGGCTGATATATTGATCTCTGTCCTGATTGGCTGGCCTGTATTGTGCCTCTTTCAAAAAGCAGTCCAGGCTGAAACACTACTTCAGTATAAATGGATGAGGGTAAGCAGCTGAAATCTGAAAAGGCAGATAATTCTAAATGTTTTGATGGTTTTGTGACATCACAAAAACAATACTTTCAAAACAGGCCACTTATGCAGTTGGTTTTCATATATAGACTGTATAGCCTGGATGAATGGTATTTTTGGAGACTTTAGCAGTGATTACATGCTACATCAAACTGTTTTATTTAAAAAAAGAGGTTACATTTGTTTTTCCATTATATGGGCCTTTTAACATCCCATGTAGTGCTTTCTTAACCCTGCTTGTGCTCTCCACTTGTGAAATTCTCTTGCCTCACTACTGCTGTAGCTGGCTTTGTCTGTTTTTAAATGTTGTGTATGTCTTCTGTTCTTTTTTCTTCTTCTATTATGCTTTCTAATCTCTTGGCCATGGCTTGAAGGTCGCTGCAGGAGTGCGAGTGCGCCGGTTTTAGGTAGCTACCACTGGTGTCTGCTGAAACTCTTTGAATGTATATTTCTGGCCCCTTCTATCCTCCACCCTTTCAGCAAATGAAAACCACTTGGGCCACTCCTACCACACCAAGCTTTACCCGTTTCTTTGATCAGGTAGTGTAGTGGGGGGCCCCAAGGCAGGGCCAGAGTTAGCCCTGTCTCCTTCTCTTAGTCTCTCAGAATATTTCTCTCTCTCTCTCTCTCTCTCTCTCTCTCTCTCTCTCTTTTTGGGGTGGTGCCATCGCTGGAAGCAGACCTGTGGCTACAGCTGCTTTATAGCCTTAACCAGGGCCAGATGCTTGGGTGTCTGTTAGTGTTCAGGGCAGACACTCACAGCTGCACATTCACTGTAGAACTCCTGGGCTCTTGGCTGTACTATCTTCTGTTTAGAAGAACAACACACTTTATTTGGTCTATCCTCTGATTTCCCGAGGACTTTATATCGATTTCACTTCCACCGCTTGCACATTTTCGGTGTCACCCTAGATAAAAGTGTGTGCTAAATGAATAAACGTAAAGTAGGTGTATTCATTGTTGTGATAAAGTATTTGGCCCTTCCTGATTTTCTCTATTGGTTTTCATATATAGACTGTATGGCCTGGGTGAATGGTATGGTACGATCAATTATCACAGCATATTTATAACAGTGAAAACATTTAGATCTTTAATCAAAATGTAATATTTGACAAGGAGAATCTTATGAAAGCCTAGCAAAGATATTCAGCATGTGAATAGCCCATGTGAAAAAGTAATTGCCCTTATAGTCAAATAGCAACTTAACCGATTTAATTTATCATGAGATTCGGCTGATTGAACACAGCCAGGCTTGAATGCCCCGTGGAATGTAAACCTCTCTCATATTGACGTGATGTATTTGCCCAAACATCTGTGAAAGCACACTAGACCATACAAAAGAAAATACAAAACAGATGATTGGTTATATTTGTCTAGTATTGCACTTTGTTTAAATATCTAAAAGTATTCACTGTGAAAATGTGTAATAATAGAGAAAATCAGGAAGAGGCAAATACCTTTTCACAGTACTATAAATGTCTGGCATGATTCTTTTACATAACAACAGGATACTAATCAAACAGGAAAGAGAAGATATAACAACAGCAGCCATTAAATTCAGTGAAATTCCCAAGGTCACTTTTAGTTCTGTGTTTTGTCTTTTTTGAAATTCTTAAAGTTTGTTTAAAAGACTTACTGTTTACATTTTATGGTGCTAAACACAACAGTGAATGGGCCTTAAAACAGTAGCATAGCTGCACTGATAGCATCACACATAGCTGACTTATGAAATTCTTCTCAGTGGCTTGGAACGGTAATGAAAACAAACTTTTGTCTGGCAGAGATTTTTCCAGATTACTCAAATGTGTCTTATTTATATTCCAGTGATTAATATTCAGCACTTCACTTGAATACATATATGTGTTGTATTGACTTTTCATGCAGGAAAGACAGAGAGGATGGAGGACACAAGCACATCTGATCTTTCGCCAGTGTCATCTGGAGTGGATTCTGGACAGCAGTCTCCTGTCTCACAGGAAAATCTGAAGAACAACAAGAGCATACGCAAGCTGTGGGGAAAGTGAGTGAGAGTGCATGCCTGTGTATGTGCATGTGTACCTGTGTCATTGTGTTCTATTAAAAGCTGTCCTTGCTCACGCAAAAGTCACTATGTTTAGGATCAGGAGGACTCAGTCAGGGGGTCTGCAGGGAGATGACCTAGAGCCCACTGAATTCAGGAGGGGGGGCTTCAGAGCAACAGCTGGACCCAGACTGGCCCGGACGCCGGACTCGGGCCGCTCAGTCCGGTAGGAGTCTTCATTATACAGCAAAGAGTCTTTGTTTTATCTAATGCCAAGTTAACACCCATTTCATTTTAATAAATTTACTCGATTGAATATTTTACAAGGCCTTTTAAATGTCTGAGTTAATCAGATTTTGGAACTGGAAACTTTTTATAAACGTATAACTGTTCCATCACTTCTTGACCAGTCAACATGCATGAGGCTTACACATTTGCAAAAACAGAAAAAATTTGGGGAAAAATGGCAGGAGAGAAAAGAGCACCTCATATTTTTGTTAAGTATGTGAGGTGTCAGTAGCTCAACCAATCAATTTGTTGGTGGACGAAATATAGTAAGAATTAATGGGGAACTCCACCAATTTTTCAACATTAATGCATAATTAAATGGTCATGTAAAAATATGTCAACAAAATCATTCAGAGCGGTTTGTTGTGAAATGCTTTGTTTTAGATAAACTTACAGATTCAGGGTCGTTCACAGTGGTGGTGACAGGAACCAGACGTCTAAGAAGTTTAATGCCTCTAAAAACTCTCTCAGAGAAAGAAAGTTATTACATTCAGTGCTTATGAATACACTGCCTGGTGTCTGAGACATTGTTTTAGTAGTTTTGGTCTAAAACATATTTTAATCAGTTTGTTTTAATCCATTCATGGTGGAGGGATACATGAGGGATGTTCTAAAGAAATAGTGCCCAAAGAAAACTTATTTTTCAGGCTGACCATTAATTTAGATTCATCAACATTACAAAAAACCCTAGCTTCACTGGGCGTCTTGGATAGTAAATACAACGGCTGTATTTGCATTGTGGACATTAGGACTCCTGGTTCCTATCACCACCACTGTAAAGAAATCTGTAAATCAGTAAGTTTCTCTGCAAATTAATAATTTCAGAGCACTCTGGATGACTTTATTTATATATCAACCACTGAATTATCCAGACATTTTGAAAAATCAGTGGAATTCCCCTTTAAGGGACTCTAACTATGCCACCACAAAAGCCAGTTCCCATGGCAAACGCCCTATTGCCGTTTAGGCCTTTATTTATTTATTTTTGACCAAGATGGCAAGCAGTGAGAGCAGTCTCCACAACCAAACATTTTGATTTGAGGGACCAACAGGCAGAATGAGGATCAAGCCAAAATAACTATAAGTTATATATTAAAGTCTGCAACTACAAGTCATTATTGAATGGCTTTTAGAATTGTAGTGTCTGTCTTATTACTCTGCAAACATTGTTTCAGTGTGGACGCTCAGCTTCAGTGTATTCATTAAAATTGGCATTCTAAATATGCATTCTTCCTCTCTTTAGGGACATGTCAGTGCCCTTCTCTAAGTGGACCACAGAGCAAGTATGTGGTTGGCTGGAGGACTATGGACTGGGTCAGTATGTTAATCTGGCCCGTCAGTGGGTGGTCAGCGGTCAGACTCTACTTTCTGCCACACCACAGGAATTTGAGAAGGTATACCTTTTCAAAATGATCTTTCATGCCTTATATTACAACCTCTGTCGCTACCAGTAGATTAAAAGTAATTTAACTGTGAGTTAGACAATATAGCAAAAAAGACATTTCCACAATACATGGAGTAGATCTTGATAAAAAGTACCTCATACAATCTGCTACGCTAAATCCAAATAAACAGAAATAATTATGCTCTCTTTGTAGTGAAGCATACAGTTGGTCAGTGTTCTATAAGTACTGATGATATTCAGGAGATGCTCAGAAAAGCATGCTGTGATATATTGTGACACATTGTGACATTATTTATCACAATGACAATAAATATAATCATATTGTTCAAAGATCCTGAATGATCCTGAACATGTATCAGTATCTTACTGTAGTGTTTCATTTCTATATTGTCATAGGAGATGGGGATCAAACATCCCCTCCACAGAAAGAAGCTGCAGCTGGCTCTCAGGTCATTTAGCAACAAGGCAATGGAGAAATCCTCTGAGCTCGATCACATCTGGGTTACAAGTGAGTAGTCCAGTAATGGACATCAGAATTATTTGTACTAAAACACAAAACTAAGGCATAATGTAAGACTGTGTTCTTTGTTCTCTGTGAACATAGCTAGAATATGTTTACTAGGTGTGGTGGTGTGGGTTACAATGGTGAAATTCCTGCTTAGCCTATCAGTTAAATGTTTATACCTAAAAACCTTGATTACATGACAAACACACTGCATCTGATCTAACAGTGTGAGCTTTCACATTCATACAAAAAATTAAACATTAAAAAATGAATAATACACTCTGACGTGTTTTAATAAAAGAGTTGTGTGTTATAATTTCTCAATTCTACTACCTAGCAACAGCAGCTACAAACAACATATTTGTAGGCTGTGCATGGATAGGTCAGTTAATTAAAATGTTAAATTAGCATTTCGATTAGGCGAACTCCATTCCCTTTCATCATCTAAAACACATACTTTTGAGTAGATGTTCGCAAATGTTTTTTTCTCCTGGTTTCTGAACTTAGGGTGGTTGGATGACATTGGCTTACCTCAGTACAAAGACCAGTTCCATGAGAGCAGAGTTGATGGTAGAATGCTTCAGTATCTGACCGTGGTAAGGCCAAACTGCAGCTGTTTCCCACAACCCCTGACCATAGGTGATACTAATGGAATGTGAAAATGCTGCTGCATGGACCTTTGTATCTTTAACATTACTTTCACCTTCTCTCAGAATGATCTTCTGTTCCTGAAAGTCACAAGTCAGCTCCATCATCTCAGCATCAAATGTGCCATCCATGTGCTCCATGCGAACAAGTTCAACCCCCACTGCTTGAGACGGCGACCAGGGGACGAGGTGAGAATGTCTTGATGTATTTATGGTAGAAACTTAAATCACTAAATGCTAAGAGACACAAATCTTAATACATAAGCTTACGCAAAACTTTAACAAGCAGTTATATTAGAAAGTATACACAATATATATATATATATATATATATATATATATATATATATATATATATATATGTTGACAGAAGAGATTATAAAATAGTAAGTAGAATACTTGCATATACTACCAATGTGTTTGTCTTTCTGTTTCTTTGCAGAATAAAACGTCTCCCTCAGAGGTGGTGCAGTGGTCTAACCATCGGGTAATGGAATGGCTGCGCTCTGTGGACCTGGCTGAGTATGCCCCAAACCTCAGAGGCAGCGGGGTACATGGAGGCCTCATAGTGAGTCATCCAGTGAAATCCCCCTTTCCAGAATAAGAACACAATTGTTTGTTCCTTCACCCTGTTCACTTGAAAGTGTTGGTTTGGCCACAAATCACATTCTCTTAATTTCCCCCTCTACCCCAAATGTACACTTACTTAAAAAATACATGGTTTGAGGCATATATGATGATTTAGTGACACAGTTTAAACAATGCCAACTTGGGGATTTTAAGCCTCCTCTGCGTTTTAGCTACATTAGCCTTGTAGCTCCAGTGCGAAACATAAATTAGATTTTTGCCCAGACTATCGCTAATCTCCTATGTATACTATATTATCTGTATATCTACTATATAATCACTGTATTTACTATCATCAGGCACAATAGTCAGATTTTTTTGGAATACTGTTTTTGAAATAATCTTCTTTGCGATTCAACATCAGATCCTGGAGCCTCGTTTTAACTCTGAGACCTTGGCCATGTTGCTGAATATCCCTCCTCAGAAGACTCTCCTCAGACGGCATTTAGCCACAAACTTCAATTCTCTGGTAGGGCCCCAGGCCCAGCAAGAGAAACGGGAGTATGCCAATGCTAGTGGCCACACGCCCCTCACCACCACTGCCAAAGTCCGGGTATGGCATCAGAAAATCTCACTTTCACTACGTCCAAAATTGAGTATTACACTATGCACTACACACTTCTTTGCATACTCAATGCAGAGTTTCAATGAGTCTGGAAATTTTTGGAGAACAGATTTAAACATCATAGCTAATTGCTCCATGACCTCTAAACTTTGAACTTGTTTGAACTGTTGACAGTAAGGTTTTTTCACATGATGTAATGTATCATCTGGGTACATTTTCTCTAATATTAGAGATGAATGATGGCGTTTTTTATTTTCTAAAAGTGATATTTAAACGCCTTCCACCCAGGGACTGCTGGGATAGGCTCCAGCTCCCCCCATGACACAGAAGGATAAGCGGCTTAGAAGATGTGCGTGTGTGTGTGTGTGTGTGTGTGTGATATTTAAACTACTAACAGTCACATCCACTTGCACTTTTTGTTGCCATGTGATGCTGTGCTGGATCTCTCTGCTTCCCACTCGTGGATGTTTCTGTCATTTCTGTTATGAAAAAATGGAAAAGAAGTGGAATCATATCCAAAATATATGGGGCAGTAAACTGTTTAATGTTAAACCAAAGCTTACAATAAAAAGAAAATGTAGACTTATGTTTTTATTCTTTTATAATTTTCTTAATGTGCACCAGTCATCCATACAAGCCAGCAATTTAGCTCGCTCACTCTCATTGACGAGCTAGTGGTCGTAGCAATTAATCTACAAGCTCTGTATGATTTAAAATTTACTTTATGTCTCAAACTATGTAGACTACATTCAGTGGAATGCTTTCCTTCCAAATCTTCACTCTCAACTGTTATATATAAATGAGATATTTTCATTATTATCTAAAACTGTTTTGGATTCAAAGAAGACAAAGATAGTCATTGTTACCCCCTGTATCTACAGTGAAAGTTTTATGTTTGCCATTCATGACAGACAAGTCTGCTCTTGCTTGATTGCCTAAATGCAATGCGGCAGCTGGACTCATTTGCTTAGAGAAGAAATCTTCATCTCTAACTGCCCCCCCATGTGTGAACTAGCATTTTCAGAACTATTCCAGAACTAGTCTTTTGGCTTACTGTTTAGAATATGTGATTTCAGATATAGTCGTTAACCTGTATAAGCTGTATTTCTGATATGGTGCAAGTTTTGTAGTCATATTTATTTACATTGCTCCATTCCTCCTCATTTCAGCCAAAGAAGCTTGGCTTCACAAACTTCAGTCACCTAAGGAAGAGAAGACCTGATGATTCAGCAGACTACATCTGCCCAGTAGATATGGCTATCTCACCTGTGTTAAACGGAAACCCTCACAGGTCCCAAGGAAGCTTTAGGGGTCTAAGCCCCATCGTGGACAGAGACACGGAGAGACTGGATCAGGTTGGGCCACAGAGCTGATCCTCCCGCTATGCGCTCTCAGCCAGTAACACTCCTATTCAGCCAATAAGTCTATGCTTGCTCCTTCACCTACACTCAGATGGACAGCTTCACAGAAACCCCAGCCCATGCTGCTTGATGGATTAGGGATACGATTCTCAACTGATTCATCTGGACATACTTTAGTTGAGAATCATATGGACTTCTTACAAGTGAGAAAATGTGTAATTTGAATTATGTTATTGTTAGCATGCTGAAAACCTGAAAGCTGGTGTACAGATTCATTGACGAAGCATCCAAAATACTGACTCAGCAATGCTAAATGCTTTACATGGTAAATAGCAGCGAACATACAAACTGTGCAATTGTCTGTCTGTCTGTCTGCTCTCTCTCTCTCTTTCAGAGGTTAATGGTCAGTAAGTGTAATTTTCCAGCTTTAAAAATGTGTTAAAACATTAAAACAATAAATTAAAATATACTTTAACAAGAAGACAAATATTGCTGAGACTTGTTTATCCATTATAGTGACCCTCAAACTGAGTACCTTATTTTTGAGTCTGGTAAAAAAGAGATTGCTACTTATATTCTTCAAGTTGTCGATAAATAATGAAAAAAGAAAATGGGGTGACCAGTTTTCAAACAAAACGTGTTTTTTCCTTCAAAATAGCCTTGCTCTTTTGATAGGATAGCAAACATCTCACTTATCTTCTAAATGATAACTTGAACTCAGCTTTAATTCATGCAGTTTACCCCCTTCCATAGATTTGACAGCATCACACGGCTTGAATATCATCTGTTTAGTGACAGTTATGGTATTTTCTCATACATATGAATTTCTCTCTCTAATAGTGTAGAGAAAAAATCACTTAGAATGGGTGGATTGGGAGGGCTCGCGGAATTGTCTGGTGTTTGTTGTGCAATACTGCCATCTTCTGGCTGGTGAAAAAACAGGTCATTTTGAAAATGTTGACACAAAAATACAGTTAGTTGTGTATGAACCCATTCAGCTATGGCAGCTTAGTTGATTGTTATTGTACCTATTGTACTTCAGCCAGAGAGCAGGACCACCAAGAACTTCATAACAACCAACTTGATTCTGCAAAACCTGAACAGTTAGCACATTTCAATGACTATATGTAGTACATATGTATGCTGTATACAAATATCTTTTATTTGCTTCTATGCAGTTTGCATTTGGCAGGTCTGAAAAAAATATATATATGTTGTAACAAAATATATAGGAGATATTTTTTTTAATATTCCTAACCGGTCAGTGCATCTAAAGATGTATGTTTTGAAGCAACTATGAAACATTCTTCCTCTAGAAAGTTCCAGGAGCAGGTAAAAGTGTGCTGCATGGACTAAAGACAGATGTGTAAATTGGAAGAGTATCACTGCCTGAGATGTGGAGATTCAGATTTTAAGTGTTCAACACCCACATTAGTCAATTACCTGGACTTGACCCAGCAGTTTTTTTTTTCTTCAACCTGGGCCAGATTAAGATCCTGTGGTCACTGAATGTTTTAAATGTTATATTATTCAAATGTTATATTAACAGGTTAAAATCATTTAAAACTGTGCACTTTTTGAGCAACTTCTGGGTGCCCTGAGAAGGTCACTCATATGGTAGATACAGCCAACAATTGTCAAAATTGTCAAAAGTCAAGCCTGAGCTAAATAGAAGAAGTTTTCTTCTTTCTGTATCATACTTTTCTTGGTTTTTTTTTATCGTTTCCCTTGATGTCTCAACCAAAAATGGTCATTGTAATTTTGTATGACCATTTTCCAGCCTCTGTCTCTCAGCACTAAACAGTCTGTTTTTGTGTCTGTGCCTTTAAGATGGATATGAGATAAACGAGCTCTGTTCTGATTGGCTGTCCTGTATGACGCCTCATTTAAAAGTCACTCATAGTTGAAAATATCCGGGCGCTTCAAATTGAATGGAAATAAACTGTTCTAGCCTGAATGTGTGATGTATGTGAAGGTTCCTCGTGACATCACAGACACAATTCAAAATGGGCTGTTTTTGCAGCATAATTTCCATATGTGGACTAAGTATAGTGAATGGTACGTTTGCATATTACTTCAGACTATTTCAAAAAGCGAGGGAAGTTTTCCATTAACTGGGCCCTTTAATTCATAAAGAACCTAGACATGTTGATAGAACACGCCCTGGCATTTACGCTTAGTATTTTTCAAATTGGTATGTTTAGTATTATCAGATCAGATATGGAACATTCGTGTGCAGAGGAATAAACAAGATGCTATCGTATCATACAGGCAAGTTGTTAACTACTTGGCTCAGTCTCAGCCGTCAGGGGTGAGGAGCTCCGATCTTCCTGCTCAAACACACCTGATTCAACTTTCCTGTTAATTGCCAAATTTAGTAGATGTGTTACAGAGGAGAAACCATCAGATCTGCTGCACTCCTAGTCTTAGTTCTCCACCCTGGCCTAAAACAAGACTTCAGATAGCTCAGCTCTGACTCCAGTAACATGAACAACGATTAGAGGAAAAATAAACAAATCAACAAACATTGCATTTACTGTAAAGCATTATAATTATCCTGGCCCACAGTGAGTTACATTAAAAGAAACATATAAAAGCATAATAAAAAATAATTATAATAACTAATTTTGGATTTACAGTTGTCACATAAAATACAATGTTATCAAATATAAAAAAAATCTTCCCGAAAGATGTCTGTAGGCCTTTGGAAGTCAACGGTCGCTGCACATTAGCTACTCGTGTGAACAGAGCCGTCCAAAAGAAAGCCAGCTTCTCCATGTTCCTCAAAAAACACATTTCTAAGGTTTTTTTTTATCCCCCTAATCGTTTGTCATTATTTTTTCTTTTACAAATTTTAATTTACACGAAGAAATAATAGGTTTCGAAACGTGTACATTTGTTTTGGGCGTTCAAACACGGTTTACACTGGAGGACAGGGTGCTAACGGTAACATGTAGCCAAGTAGGAAAACAACAGCAAACGGTTCTGTTTTGTAAAAAGCTTTTTAAGAGCAGCAACTTGAACACAGGTCTGTGGGGGACGAGTGGATGTCGACAAAGAGATTTTTGGCTTTTGTCTGTTTACAAAATCGAAGACTGTTCATTTTAGCTAGCTTTAAGGTGGAGTTAGAGCAGCTTCTATGCTGGAATTTGTTAGCTTGCTAGCTAAAATTGTTATGACAAACTGCCTTCAGCGGAACTTCCTCGCTGTTAATGAAATTTAGCCTGTGAAGATGTATATTGAGCCTACATAAAATATATATTACACTTAAAAGTGATGGGTGTACAGAATACAGAGTTGAGAACTCCAGTACAGTGTTTAGAAACTGTGATAGGATAAAATGAAATTTGATAAAATAGCATGAAATGGAATGAAGGAACTGGATAGACTGTTATGTCTTGGAAATTGGCCTGTCCCTTTTTAGTGTAAACAAGTGAGCGTACATGATAATAAGGAAGTTATAATTTGATATTTGAAATAGCAAATAAGTCTTTGGAATTCAGTCTGTAAAAATATAACAGCGGTAGGTGTACAACGTAGTTTGTGTTATGTTTAGAAACAAAAATACAAGAATTAGAAATAAAATTATGTATATAAAGATGGTGAATGTAATATTTTTCTTGTATGTGTTGGGAATTAGCTTGTTCCATTATTTTTGTGGACTGTACGATAATGAGTGTAAGGGAATTTTGTAGGGAGTTAGGCCTGAGTAGATGAGTAGTGCTTGTTCCTTGTTTTTTTTTTGCCAGGAGGAGGCAGTCTTTGTCTAGATTTAAATAATTGGCAGCCCTGTGAGAAAAGGCTAAAACTTTACTATAACTGTATCATGTTATATGATACAGGTCATTCTCTAGTCTTACCTATACTATATGTCCAAAAGTATCCAGTTCTCTCTGTTTAGTGAATTCAGCTACTTTAATGTGCACCAATTGCTGGCACAGATGCACACAAAGCATGTAGAATCTCCATAGAGAAGCATTGCAAATAACATGGGATGGTCCTTGAGTCTAAGGTTGCCATGCCCTCCAGAATTGGCCTGTGAAGCAGTGGAGCACCATTGAATTAGTTTGGCATGAGTGGCATTTGTTACCCAGAACATCAGAATTTGAGCTCATTAATAATCTCATGCTGAATGCAGTCAAATCCTTATAGCAATATAGCATCTATTGTAAAGCCTTTACAGTGGCGTGGAGCCCGTTACTGCAGCAAAGGTGGAACAAACTCCATATTTACACCTTTGATTTCAGGAGAAATGTTGGATGTGCAGTCATCTGCAAACTTTCGGTTATGCAGTCTATCTAAAATAGTGTAAAAATGTAGCCTTAAATTGAGCCTTTGTCCACTGCCCTTCACAGAATGCGGTTAACCTCAGTATCCTGGATGTTCATTTAAAGGCAGCACAAGTTTGTCAGTGCCTTTATACCTCAGTGAGGAGATTCATGCCTTACCATTTCTTTTTCTTGTGGCAGCGGTTGTGAAGAATGCTGTATGTGACAAACCATCGCTGAGAGTGACTCAAGAGTAATGGTGAGTACCTGATCTTCACTACCCTTCTCCCTTTCCGCAACATATCAGATGGCCTGGTTGATGGTGTTGTATGAACTGTGGTCGTGGTGTGAACTGTGGTCGTGGTGTGAACTGTGGTCATGTTATGAAAGCTGAGGTCAGAGAGATCACTTATTAAATGAGACTTCACTGACCTGTCTTGTCAGATGAAGAAATGGAGCATGGATGCTAATAGAAGAGGTCATGTTGTTGTTTCTTAACTTTACCACTGACACTGCTGTGTTTGGCTTCCCTCAGTCCTCTTCAGTGTTCTTGTTTTTCTTACTGCTTTTTTTGTTCCCAACTGTTGTTTTTCCTTTCTGTGTCTTGCAAAAAAAAAGGAGAAAGTAGGCAGCTCTGTTCACAATGGTGCATGCTAGCTAATTTCAATAATGTGGTTTGATGCCCATTGCTTGGCATTTTAATGGCCATTATTTATGCCAGCCTTCCACATAAAGAGACTGCAAGAAGTTGCATTGCACAGGAAACGGGGCGATGAATGACACCACAATTTGCTGTATGATATCTATTGTTTTAATTAAGTGAAAGCAGTTGTGACATTTATTGGTTTCGAAGTTACTTGTTAATGGCTATGGGAAGCAAAAGGAAAACACAAGTAAAATATTGCTGCGTTTACATAAATAATTTGTAGCCGCTTAGCTAATGATTACCTATTATTTTTCTCGCCGAGGCTGTCCATTCTGGTCGATTAATAACAAACACAGTAATACTGGATGGTCTATTCAGTGCCAAAATTACACTCCTGTGGCCAAGGCATTGTGCTTGGGTGTATTTCGCATGAATAATTTTGCTTATTTTACTTCTTGCCTTGATTGCATCGTTGCATTTTGCAACAAAAGGCACGCTGTATGTTTTCATGTGTATGGGTAAGCAAACAGAACCTTGCAGCGGCCCTGTCTGCATGATCCTTTAAAGAAGCACATCAGAAAAAAGGAGCATAATCATGTTTTTGTAGCTTGTCACTTGCTGTTCTTGTCATTCTGTGGCCACCAGCTTGACGGTTTGGGAAACATATTCCCTGGGCGGGTGGGTGAGCATGTCAGGCACTGCCACCATACCACGACGAGGGCTAGATCTGTCCCCCTCAGTGCCAGCGTAGTCTGACAGCCATGCCACAACGATGACACCCCGCTGCCGACACGGCTGGGACTAGTGAAAGGCAACCCTAGTGCTCCATCAAAAAGAGCAGTCAAATGTCTCTGTGCGCATCTTCCTAACCCGTCAAACCTCTGTCTGTCTATCCTCTCAGAGCAGGAAGTGCTCTAACGTAAAACAGTCCTGATGGGAAATGATTTAAAGGGCCGTAGAGGTCCTGGTGGGCTGCAGCTCACTCTCTCTCTTTCTACTGCCTGGAGGCCTCATCTTGATGTCTAAGACAACTGCCTGTCCACTGTGGTTAGGAGTTGAGAAAGTGCTGTCCTTTTCCCAGCCTTAGAGAGCATTCTGTAATGAGAATAAAAACATGGGGGCAAAGAGAGAGGAGATAAAACTACACTCTTAAAAATAAAGGTGCTATAAAGGGTTCGTACAAGAACGTATGACGGTGCGGTTTTATGTATCAAAAACGTAACTAATTATTATACAACCTCTTATGT